TTATGAACGTTTGAATGTCGAAAACTCGCGCTTCTCAAAAATCGGACCACAAACCCCTGAAAAACGGAACAACGGGACTATTTTTTGAGAAAGTGATCTTTGGAAAAAGTCAGGTACTTGTTTGAAAGCTCTAATCTTCTAGTTTCTAATTAGCCTTAGACATCTGCAAAAAGTTGATATGAAGAAAGTTATGAATGTTTGAATGTCGAAAACTCGCGTGTGCACAAAAACGGAACAACGGGACGATTTTTTGAAGAATTGAACATTTGCATAAGTTTAGAAATTTTTGGAAAGAAAACAATTTTGTTTTTGAATTTTGTATCATATCCACGCTTCTGATGAAAGACATGACTTTTTAAATGAAGTGTTTGCATTGTAACGTAATCTGTTGCAAAGTTTATGAAAAAAAGCATATTTGCAAGACGAAAAAAGCCTGGTACTTTTCTGGAAGTAGAGTTGTGGAAGTTCCTGCGACTACCGCCATGCCTAGGTTTAAACAAAAATTGGGTAGTTGTTTTTATTTAATGGCTGAAGTTTCATGTTGCCTCGATCCACGCTCTCTGACCATGAGTGAGACTAAGCGCGTGGACTTACACTGTCACTGCTCTATCCTGGTTCAGGTGACGGCCTCAACGATGAAGGCCTAATTAGTTATACGAGGAAATCCTCGACAGGGGGGTCGTACCTGTTGGGCTGGTCCATGGGGGGTCGTACTCTTGGGGTCAGTAACAGAAGTGGTATCATGGTGCAGATAGGTAATAGGGTATAGCGCAGCAGAAAATGAAAACATCCGAAAAAAAACATGATATTAAATTTTCTTTGCAGGTTCAGTCGCTCCATTCCTCCACCTTCATGAGAAGGGCGTATTTGAAGGCAGTACAAAGAATGAAAGTGCATCCCCGCAAAGAAGAGTGCCACATGTGCGCACGCGCTGCAAAAGGCACCTCCTCCGCCTATCACTCGCTCCTTCTCCCTTAATACCTCGCTGAGAATGACGCTGTTGTTAGGGACCCTGTCGGAAAAACGACAACCGTGAAGAAAAAGCGCTGGGCAAATGAAGTTGTTTTTTAGGTTACAGGAATAGCACAACACACTATGTCTACTACAATACAGTTTCGTTCGAAGGTCCCCATCATATAACACCTTTCAATCGATTCTGCAACTGTGAGTGGAGGAGGGATGCATGGCTTATACCAATACCAAATCGGATGATGACGATTGCTCCTATTCTTATTGTTTGCGTTCAAAGATATTGTTCTAGACACATTCCGAGTGTTGCCAACGAGTCACACTTGCAATGGTGAATGAGGGAGCGGATTTCCAGGTGGCCGGATCCGACCTCGATAGATCCTCGACGCAATTATCTCTTCAACCAAAAAGCTGTAGAAGAAAACTAAACAGACCATCAGGAAGCGCAAACCTTCCGCTTTCCAAAACTATCTTCCCTTTTTCAGGATCTTACAATATAAGAGATATATTGCTCTTGAAGTGGCAAAAACTCGCGTGAAAATTTGGGCCTCCTCGACATTTACTCGACGAAATTTGACAGACCCTATCTTTCTGCAAGGAAGGCTTCCAGAGCAATTTCGATGCTTGTTGGAAACGCGAAATCCAGCTCTATCTAAACTTCTACTCTCAGCTGCTTCAAAGGTGTGAAATGGAGGAATGCATGTGATCGCGAGGCGAGGGTGTAGATTCGGACGTTTTTTTTTTGAAATTTCGGCAAATCTGACCCAGTGACAATCGCGCCGCAGCTGCCGTTGAATCGGCCTTTGATACACTCGGCTGTTTTGATATACTCAAGCAAGAATCAAGATTGAATCGCAACCCCGTGTCTTCAGGATTTCTGTGCGTTTCTGAACGAACCTCGCCTTGAGGTCACACAAAGTTAATGCCTCTTTCCTCGAGTCGATATTTCAGTATGTACACAAAAGTATGCAGCGATGGGAGACGTGCATAGATGACAAGATGAAGCGTCCTTAGCATTATTTGCAGAATTTTTTTTGATTGTTTTGATTTTTTTTTGATTTTTGTTTTGCAGGATTTATTTTAATTGAATTAATTTGCTCTGTTAGAGGGGGTCGTGCCAGGATCTCGATTTCGGGGGGGGGGGTCGTACCTCTGCGACCACGTACTCGACACGATTTTCACCCTGCTAGTTATTCGAGTGATTATGATGAAAGAGAGCGGGTTCGTTTAAATTTGTGCAACTCGGCGCAATGCTTTGGTGGCAATTGATGCAGGCGTAGACGCATAGAAATGAAAATGCAAACTTCTTAGGATAAATCTCTTTCATTTATACGGTGGATGGGCCATGGACTTTAGCGAATTGACAGATAGTCTGGGGAATGAATAGAGAATAAGGTAGAGTGATGAGAACAGCTTCGGAGTTAAGACACCAAAGCGAAAGGAAGCAAATGGCAAACCGTTCTTCAAAATTTGCGTTACCCTTACCTTACTTCAATGGAATAGGTTGTTTTCATAAGTCAAAGTGGTGGTCGCAATGACCGCCATGCTGTATGGCGAACTTTGAACCAACGACTGGGCGTTTCGGGCGTAGGGGTACAAGCAGCAACTTCTCACCTCTGTTTTAGCTGATTCATTTTCGCTTTATAAGCAAATTCGAGATTTCTGCACCACATTATGCCCTTGAAAAAATATCAAGGGGAACGCAAGCGCAGAGGCAAGTCTCTCCTTGGCTCCACGAGATTTTCAGGTGACACGAAAGCCAGGATTCACTATTGCTCCGCCTCCGCGACTATGGATCCTGCTCAATTGCTGATTTCTCCGTCGCAGAGCCTGGGAAGAGAGAGCAGGGCCTCGATGTCTTTGTTAGTTTTTCTTCTTTGGTTTTTTTCTTTTGTTTTGTTCACTGGGATTTGCCTTACAGCGCTCTAATTTTTGTTCAATCGACGGTTTGCGACGGTCGGGAACCGTCGCAAACCGTCGGCTCGCCATAACTCTTTAAAAAATGGTTCGCTCGACCTGCAGTTTATACCATCTGATAGCTCTGCTCGAGATCTACAAGATGGTTAAATTCAATTTCTGAAAGAGCTCCATCTAGGATTGCGCCATGCACTCGACCTCCATCCCGAGAAGTAATGAATATACTTTGTATGTGATGCGCATATAAGTCCTCCTATGCAGCCTGATCATCCCACAGAAACATGGATCTCAACACCCTCAGAATACGCCACGTACCCAACCGGTCCACCATATGGTGAGATTGAATGAATGTTTTTTTTTCGAATTTCACGATCTTTAATTCGTTCTAGAGCGCTAATTGGCTAACCGTGCGCTGATCAACCCATTCTTCCACTCCAAATGAGAATCTTCGAACAGTTTCCAGCAGTAGTAGTAGACCTATTATGTGACATTCCCCACATTTAGAGGAGATGATTTGCGGAAACCTGAGAAGATAGCCAGGAATCTCTCCACTGACGTAGACTCCAGTTACTTGTCTGTAGGAATGAGGTAGAAAATTTGGTCACGGGTAAGCTTTCCTTCCGTGGTGTGGCCCCAAACATCACTCTCCGTCATGCCCTAAAATGAAAAATCAGATTTTTTGTCTTCCAGATGACTCGCAGACCTGATCGGCGATGGGGTGTAAAATAGTGAGAACAAGGGGGGTGTGGAATTCATTGCTACGCATTTCGGTAGGTATTTTTCGATGCGGAAATCAAATGTGTGACATCTTGGGCGTCACTCGAAGTCATCTGGAAGTGCAAATTTGATGTTTAATTTTACGGGCATGTAGCGAGTGATGGTTTGGGGCACACACGGAAGGAAAGCTTTCCCGCTGACCAATATGGTAGTGATTACGAAGTAACCGGAGTCCACGTCGGTGGAGAGAATTTCTCGCTAAATCGCACGTGGCGCCAAGGGCTGGGAGGACGATCGGCAATGGGGAGCAAAAAAGTGAGAAAAACAAAGTTTTGTGTGGAACCTGAGTTGTACACCATTCGGTAGTATTTTTCATGGGAAAATCCAATGGGGCACATCTCAGGTCTGCGAGTTCATCTGGAAATGCAAAAAATCTGATTTTTATTTTAGGGCATGACGGAGAGTGATGTTTGGGGCCACACCACGGACGGAGCGCTTACCCGTGACCAAATATTCTACATCAATCCTACAGAGAAGTAACTGGAGTCTACGTCAGTGGAGAGATTCCTGGCTATCTTCTCAGGTTTCCGCAAATCATCTCCTCTAAATGTGGGGAATGTCACATAATAGGTCTACTACTACTGCTGGAAACTGTTCGAAGATTCTCATTTGGAGTGGAAGAATGGGTTGATCAGCGCACGGTTAGCCAATTAGCGCTCTAGAACGAATTAAAGATCGTGAAATTCGAAAAAAAACATTCATTCAATCTCACCATATGGTGGACCGGTTGGGTACGTGGCGTATTCTGAGGGTGTTGAGATCCATGTTTCTGTGGGATGATCAGGCTGCATAGGAGGACTTATATGCGCATCACATACAAAGTATATTCATTACTTCTCGGGATGGAGGTCGAGTGCATGGCGCAATCCTAGATGGAGCTCTTTCAGAAATTGAATTTAACCATCTTGTAGATCTCGAGCAGAGCTATCAGATGGTATAAACTGCAGGTCGAGCGAACCATTTTTTAAAGAGTTATGGCGAGCCGACGGTTTGCGACGGTTTCCGACCGTCGCAAACCGTCGATTGAACAAAAATTAGTAGCGGTATTGTACATCTCTACTGCTCAAACCGCATAAGGCATCATTCGTCCGTACCTTGACCTGCAAGGGTGAGTCTGCTATGGCAGGTTCACGGAACAATGAGAATACAAGGCGTTACCTTCAATAACGTGTATCTATTCCTCTGAATTAGTTACCGTTTGGAGAATGGTTTATTAGCGCGGGGCTTTTATTCATCGTGGGCTGGTGCAGTTGTGCACGCTACAGTCTGGAACAGTGCTATGGAAAGATGAAAGCTCTGAAAGTCGGATTTTCAATTATTTCACGATTCTCTGACCAAGCTCCTTGTTGACGAGGATTCAACAGCGGACATGTATTATCGAACTGGTCCGCAGTAGTGTGCGGTGCGAAAACTATCGTAACCAAGTGTCGATCAGCGAAAAACTCATAACCATCCTGCACGACCTATAGAGAGAATAAAAAATGCATGAAGAAGTCGGTACTGCTCGATACCCTTGCTATACTAATGGCTTCTTATTGTGAGCATCTAGAAGAATCATCCCAACCATTACATACAAAAAGCTCTGACGCCTGATCAGTGTTTCACCTTTCAGAGACAGACAGATACCAGTCAGTTCAACCACTAAGGAGGCAAAAGTTCCAGGCCCATACATGGCCAGGCTTGAATGAATAAAACCCGCCCTTTTAGCGTCCTAAAGGTGCGCAGGAAGAAAGTTGAGGCTCACGTCAAGTGACCTCATTCTTCTAACGTGATTCCCCCCAAGTCGGACGTCACGAGAATGGTAGGTCTCGCTTTATGCTTTTCTGACCGTCTGCTCCAGTGTCCCGGCCCTCACTATTTCCTTGCCGCAAACTCGTACAGTGTCCAAAGGGAGTTGCAAAGGAAGGACGTTCTGTAGAGCCTGTTCGCCGGTTTTTGCTCTTCTTATGTAGGTCACTCAATCACAATTTTGGTAATACTCCACACATCCAGCAATCGTGGACTGTGCCTTCGAGATAGAATTCTTCAGACAAGTGATCCTGGTAGTAGTGTCACATGTTTACTTGAATCCATGGTTCACGGGCTTAGGCAATAAATTAAAAATTGCGTAGGTCTCACCTGATGAGCTCTAACGACGAGGTCGAGTCCATGCAGCTTACAGAAATTCTTCAGCGCATCTGCGCCAAATATACGTGCTGCTCCTCGAGGTGACTCTTCGAATCCAGATATGTTGGGATCTGGGTCGGCCCATGTTAGATCAGCAATCACTCCGATATCTGGTATGTCACACGGCCGTTCAATCTTTTCAAGCTGAAAAAGGTAAAATAACGCGAATATAATTACACTTGAATGTTCCATGGACCTAGCCTTCCCTGAAACATTCCCTGTTGCCTGACGGATGCTAAGAGGTTCAACGGCATACCTGCTTGAAGTCCATCAACTCTTCACTGATGCCGCCATGCATGCAGAGAATTCGCTTTTCGACACGAGCACAAAACGGCATTGTGTAAAAGGCGTATTGAAAGCACTCATATAAAGTTGCCGAGTACCTGAACCTGTTAAGTCCAGTTTCTCAAACAATTTTGGGAGTGTTATCTGCCAAGTACAAGTACGGTAACCTTCTCAGATGCGCACGCTAACCATTAAAGCAACAGTTCAGGGAGGGTCCGAAAATTTCAATGCCACTACTACTGAGGGATACACGAGCCCTAGTGAAGAACATATGCAGTGGAAATAATAAACGAACTTACCTCAGAAACTCAAAAACAGGGTGGAAAGTCCCTCAAACATGGGTGTTCTTGGGGATTTCCCCAATCCCGCCCCCTTGCCGGCCGTCATTGGACGCGTCGGCAATCGTGCTCGTTTTGGGACCACAGGGAAAATTGATTGAAAAATGGAGCGCGTTTACAGCGGGCACGTTCAGACAACTCGTCCAACGTGCGTCTTTATCCATTGCTGAGCGGCAGAGGGAGAGTACCTGTCTAAGACCCTCCCCGACGTTTTTTTCCAGTTTTTCATACATTAATCGTCTGGTTTTCATCTACAACTTCATTATTGGTGGTTTTTTCCCGCGAAACCGTTCCTGAACTGTTGCTTTAAGAGTGCCAAAAATGTCTGCACAAGAGAATTGAGGAAATGTGGCGAAACGGCAGCTCTATGCTCAGCTGACTAGCGTTGGGGGAGGGGGACATACGAGTGAGTTAGCAGTTATTGTGCTTGGGAAGGAGAAGGGATTCCGGGTGAAGATGCGAGCAATTTATGTTTTGTGTCTGTAACTTTCTCCGTCTTCAAGCGTGTGGTTCGCAACTACTTAGGTCTTTCGAGACCCTCGCGAACATGAACGCCTAAAGATAATCCTGTCCACAAAAGTGGTCACTCAATATGGGCATAAAATTAACGGTTCCCTATAATGTGGTGGTTCAGAAGTTGGTAATGTATTCTGTTCCAGTGGTGTATTGGCATAGAAATCACTGTTAATGTTACATCTCCGATACCACGCAGGTGGTTATCACATCGAATTTTAAGGCACGTATTTACGACAAAGAGGGAGACTGAGGGAGTATACGCCCACACGATCAGTACTGTGGCTGCAGAGAGCGAGATCTGGGACGCTTTCACGACGAAAGGTTGCGCTGGTTGCTGAGCAGGACTTCGAAAGCACTCCGCCCACAAAAGCGATCCGCCCACTAGTTCACTTGGTGATTTGGACGAGCTGCGTTGCCAAGCAGCGGCACAACTGAAGCAACTCGACTGGAGCATGGATTGGCATGCTGTCACCAAACGCGTTGCGATGAACTCGTTCATACACTTCGCTTTCTGAGCTGTTACGAAGTTTATTACGTCTAGGAAGGGGGTCATCATCGACGTCAAGAGAGGGGTCCGACAGGGCGACACCATCTCGCCCAAACTCTTCAGCGCCGCTCTCGAGAACGTCATGCGTCAACTGGAATGGGAAGACATGGGAGTGAAGGTCGACGGCCGGCAACTACACCACCTTCGTTTTGCTGACGACATCGTTCTTATAACGCCGAACATCGAGCAAGCGGGAATATAACTGCGCGATTTTTCTGGCTGGGGCGGAGCGAATGCTGGCTGATTTCGACTGCGCCTGTGGTAAGGTTGGTCTACAGCTGAACCTAACGAAGACGATGTTTATGAGAAACGGATTGGTTCCTGATGCCCCATTCACGCTCAACGGAACGAACATCACCGAATGCTCCAGCTACGTGTACCTAGGTCGGGAAATCAATATGATGAACGATCTAGCTCCAGAGCTGAGCAGGAGGAAACGAGCGGCTTGGGGAGCGTACAAGAACATCGAGGGAGTAGTGAAGAAGACGAAGAACATCCGGCTCCGTGCCCACCTCTTCGATTCCGCTGTCCTTCTGCCTACCTAGCCTAGAGACCACGGGGAGGAGGGGAGGGAACGAAGTTATACGAGAGACTTGGACTCTGCGCAGGCAGGACGAGCATGCGGTCAGCGTTATCCAACGCGCTGTCGAGAGGACGATGCTAGGAGTAACCCTATACACGCAAGTGCAGAGGGGAATCCGGAGTGCCGAACTACGCCAACGATCGAAGATCAGGGACGCTGCCGTTTTCGCCAAGGAATCGAAGATAAGGTGGGCCGGACACGTCATGCGATTTTGCGATGACCGTTGGACCAGAGCGGTTACCGACTGGATCCCTCGGGACGTCAAACGAACACCTGGACGACCGCCGGCCCGATGGTCAGACTTCTTCACGAAAGCTCTGAACGAAAGGAATGATGGACTTCGTGTCCCTCGAGCAAGGAGGATCCACTGGACCCTAGCACGCGACAGGGACGAATGGAGACGTTGCTGGCGCCCGCTCGAGCAATTCGATGATCAACGGGACGACAGGTGATACAGGTGATACAGGGTTTATGGTGCGAAACACGGACAAAAAGGGAGGTATGTTTTGCGTTCCTCGACGGATTGTCTCCGCTCTTATTGCCGTAGGTACCAGTGGCCAACAGTTCTCTATTGAAGCTTCTGACGTATCGTATCACTGCTTCAAGTGAAAGGCAAATTTGAATTTTTTACTTATATTTAGCTCATTTTATATTACGCACCTCATGCATGCCTTGATGTTAAGAACTAATAGAATGTTGGTAGATTTAATAGAAGTCCATTGCAAAAGATTTTACTATTGAAAAGGTTCGAGCCCTTTAGCACTCACCGCTTTTTTATTTCCATATAAAAACCGTATTGCATATTTACTGGACGAGATTCATGGTTTCCACGAAGTAGCACAATTTCGTTCAGGATTGAAGTACCTGGTGTATTGCACAATTAGCGATTCGTAAGAGCAGCGGATGAAGGAAGGAGATTGATGGATGTAGGTCTCCTCTACTATATGAAGGATACCTTATACGCGAATAACAGCACTATAACTTCAAGAGAGTAAGGGCCTCGATCGACATAATCTCCGAGAAACAAATATCTAAATTAGAAGTTATTAACATGCGACAATTGGAAACGATGCCCCGGCAACACCCAAATCAGCAGTATCCTGTGAGAATTCCACCTTTTTCTGATCGCCCCTTTATTTGTCACTGACAATAATCATACATTATGTATTTCACTCGCTGTGTTATTACTAGAGTTCAAAAGTAACAATATACAGCTATGGTGTGACTAACAACTAGGGTTTATCACGTAACTTTCGACGCCTTGGAAGCATCCCACACCAAAGATGCTCTTACCAGTGGTTCATCGACTTCTCCTTTCTATATGCCATCTAATCTAGTAACAATCACGCTCATCGGAAAGCGTATTATAGCAGCCTTGTCATATATTCTGTCCTGCGGATCGAAGACGTCACATCCTTCTTGAGGAGATCGGTTGTGGACACACCTGCCTCGGGTGCACGGCAGGTCTTTTCGTCGCTTTCGCATTATGTTTTGAAATTGTCGTCGCTCATCGCCGTTCGTGATCTCCCGGCCAACGGAATACCTTCGAAGGGACGCAGCTAAACTTGCAGCGTTGGTGCACACTTTGGTGGCATCAATCTCGGTTCCGTGTCAGGTGTCATAGGGCGTGGCGTTGCATTGAATAGGGGACTTTGTGATTTTGGAGCAGCCACTATTATCAATGTAGAGGTGGTCATTAGTGCAGGTATGAAGAAAAAACAGTGAGAAACGGATCAAAAGTCGAACCTTATTGCCCGTTGATTTCGCATTGATGCCACTCTCATCGGCGCTGCCCTCGTTAGTGCTAACGCTCTCTCTCTGCCAAACGAATGCGGCTAGTGGTTAGCCAGTCGGTGGCGTACCCCCCAATAGCGCCGCGAGAAGGGCCATACGGATTTGCCGGGCATATCCTCCGCTGCAACTGCGTGTCGATCCGCAGCCTTAGGGGATCCGCCTGTCTTTCCACGAGGGTTGTTTCCCCTTCTTCGACCTTCGACTTAGTCGTGGAATCCTCCTTCGAAGCGTCATTCAAGATCTCGGCGTTGCTTCCAGAAAAGCACATTTTCGATAGCTCTTTACCTGGTCAACACAGCCCTCTGGAAGATCAACCTTTCGTCAAATCACTTGATCCGTATAACAATTCTACTTCATGCTTTCAACTGGCGCTTTTAAACATACCCTTCTTACCCTGGCAAAGGCCTTTATCTATCATTTATCAGCAACCGTCTATGGCCGAGATGAATATTAATTGAACATACCTTTTCGTTGGTGGGAATCCATTGAGATGGAAAAGTGCAAGGAGATCTTCATATTGCCCATGAATGTCACCACATATTTGGACTGGAGAACTTACCTAAGCAATGTGGGTGTTTTATCACTGCAGCTTATTTGTGTTTTTCTCTTGTTAAGAGCTTATCTTTACTCTTTTCGTCTTCGTTGTGACCTTCTGCTTCACACTTGCTCTTACCTTTTTCTCTCTCTTTTCTCCATGGTGTCTTTCTTTATCCACTCGTTGCCTTCTATTACGAGGAAAGGGTCAGGTGAAAGTGAGTGTCGTAATGAAACCTATCTCACGTTTTCAATCGCTGATCTCAAAACTATATCCCAAGTTTGCGGAACTATTCTCCCACAGTCACGGTGGTTGTTTTGAATGAATGCCCGCCACAAGAAACACCTTCAGCGAAATTTTATCAGCGGTGGCTTGGCCAAATTGCAGTATTTGCTCTTGGGTTGTAGGTTACCCTCCTGAGACAGCAGAATGGACAGCCAAGACAAGAAACTGTGACCAAATGGGTTATAGTTGAAGACAAGAACCCCAAACACATGCAGCGTTACACATTGTGCGAATTTCAACAATGAATAGTCTTTCAAAGGTTAAGACCTTAGTATTAGCGTCGCAAGATTTTTCTTGCGTTTCCTCCCCAATTTCAGGTCGATCCGCAGATTGGGCATCACTACGAAGCGATCTCATCACCATTCTATTTATTCCGGGGATTGCCTTTGAACAGAATCCGAACCATAGTCCCGTCAGCACGAGACGCCGCCAATGCAGCTCCGCCAGTCCGTCGCTAGACCCTCCGTGGCAGGTGTCTTCTGTGATGGGCACTCATTTAAAGCAGGCACTGCAACTCTGTTTCAAGGATCGCTGCACAAATTTGGAAGGTGAGATCAATGCTCGATAGCACATCTGCGAGTATAGGTTTTCTTACGGATGGACACTTTGCTCAAGGGTCCTCAAGAGTCACTTGATAGGCTCATCTGGCTGGTCTTCGTACTTCGGAGACGCTGATTCTATTAGGCCCATGCTGTTCTTTCACACTCAACACAAATACATAAAGCAATTGCGGGAGTCCATAGAACCGGTGCCAGACTTAGCTAATTCAGCGAATCGCTAGCGAATGGCTGGGTACGAGCTATGCACCAGCTGTTCAGACCATGCGTGTAAACTGTTTTTAAAGTAGCGAACGATTTTCAAAGGAGCCGGAGGTAAGGATTTATAATCAAATGTTGGATATTTACGGGAAGGAAACTTTTACCTGCTATCAAATGATGATGATTGGTGTAGCGGTTTCTCTGGGGTCAGAAAAGCAGTCCGGGACTAAGCAGAGTGTGCTGAAGGATCATACGGAGAGGTTTTTGATGTTGATTATAACAATCGCCCGGCCAGAAATACTCTTCAAGGACAGAATTCAATTGGAAGCACATTTGAAAGTTAGGATGGGGTTAGTACAAGAAGGAGGAAAAATATTGTAGAACAGCAGAGCCAGAAATGGTACCTCCTCCCCGGCCTTGCCTCAAGCCCACCCCCTCCTTGTACTCCAGAGCCCATCAAGTTTCCATTTGACAATCGCTGACCGATATCAACTCATTTGCACATCCACAAAAACATCGGTTGGTCGACTGTAATGGTGGTACAAAAACAACACAGTTGCTGCTCGATTTGCGCCCGACCACATCTTGTGGAAGCGTTTCGCGCACGTCCTAAGATCTTTCATCTTCAGCTCCAGGTGCTTGTGTGATGAACTTCACTGCTAGCGTACTGTGAAACCATAGTGGTGATTTGGGTGACCACCATCTGCGATGGTTCAGCCTTAATTGGGGTTATCCCTCACCACCTTCCTTACTGGCTCGGAGCCTTTAGCACGACTTCAGTGCGAATCCTACCTCAATCATAGTTTTTTGACTCCAAAATGTCTCTCTTGCCCGATAGCACAATTCAATGAGTTCAGCTTCAGTGAATAACGACTGGCACAGTGCCGGCTTCCAATCCTTTGTTAATCGATCAACTATTGATTGAAGCCATCGTCGGATCTGCAAAAGTACATAGCTCTTGAAGTCGATTAAAATGAGATAAGACGAAAACGACTCGGTCGGAACACCCTGACTACCATGCCAAATAGGTCTCAGGACATCTGTCAACCGTGAGCCTTGGCGGTTCAGCGTTTTGTAGTGATGTCTGGGAGCTCTCACAAGTGCACACTATCACAGCATCTCCTCTTTCTTTATCTTCTTCAAAAGGCTTAGTCCCAATAAGACACAAAGTGTGTGCTTTTCCAGCTACGCTCTCACCCTTTGGTTGACAGAAGCCTTGTAACCTGCCAAATAATGTCAGTGCAGTATGCATACCTTTTCTTTACGTTCGCTTCGTTTCTTGTCTGCCATAACTGCGGTTATGTAGGAGCACCGTACCGCTCCGAGTGGTTCTAGTTAGAAAATGAGGCACACTTCATCACCTACTCTGGAAAGCGTTATCTTTACATAGCATCATTCCCACCAAGTCGACTGCGGCATTACTCAGAAAAGGGTGGTTGATTTTGTTCAAACCCAAATGACGCGAGCGTGGTGGATATTGCAATGGTGAGGAAAAGAGGCACCGAGCATTCAAAATTTTGACGTCGATTCGAGGATAGGCGATAGGCGAGTAGGCGAGTAAGCGAGTAGGCGAGTAGGCGACAAGAGAAGGATACGTATTGATTTGTTGCTCCGCCCATTGAGTAATCGCCTAATCGCCTACTCGCCTACTCGCCTAATGGAGCGATCATAGTTGGCGATCGTACGTGCGATGAGGCCAGTAGTCGATTAGGCATTTAGTCTGGTACGTGAGTATGCGACAAAGGAAGAATAGGTTGCTTGTTGCTCCGACCAAGCGATCGCCTAATCGCCTACTCTCCTACTCGCCTACTCGCCTACTCGTCAATAACGCCCTCAAAGCGGAGCAAACCAATCAATACGGCTATGCTCAGGTCTATCACCGCTTAACACCCAGTCGCGCTCTCCACTCGCCGACTCGCCATGAATGGTCTAATCTACACGTATATTTTCCATTAGTAGAGCTAATCACGCTGACATCGCGCTAATCTTGAGCGTACGATCTGGCGAACGGATGACGTTCATAATCGCACGTCGATCGCCAGTGATGAACGTGTCATTAGCGTCAGAAATGGTAGATCAGATATCATCGGACGTATACGACAATTACTGTTGGGGTATCTATACGCATTTCAATATTCGTAGCGCGGTCTGTGAGTGCACATACTGACAACGGTTATATTGTGGACACGGGGGGGCGAGGCAGGGCGGTGGGATGGGTAATTATGGGACGCTATGTTGGGTTCCTCGTTGGAGAAATCAATCCTCAGATGGACTTCGGTATCAGCGGTGGGTAGTCAACAGCACTTAGAGTAGTGAAGAGTTAGTGTGGGTATTTCCTTCAGTACGCGCGACTCAGGTTGGGGGTGGTATGGAGGCCAGTTATTCCACACCTGCATGATGAAGCAACAAGTACCCTCTTTTCTCTCGGTTGATCTTGCCGCTCGCGTTCGCGTCGGCAGCAGATGAGAAAGTTCGCCTGCTCATTCCAGCTCTCCTTGTCGTGTATGTTTTTGGGAGCCTTCTAGTAGACTCTTTTAAAAAAGCTCAGGAAATATCTGGATATGCGGGCTTCGAAATAGGCAATCCTACTATATATTGGGCTGTTAGAAAGGTTTGCGCGTTTTTAATAGTCCACTTGAAACGCTTGATTCTGGGCGGTCACTTCGCACAGAAAATACTAACATTCATATGAAATTAAGAAGCGTTCCTCGCTCTATCCAAATCCATCTTTGTTAAACCCTGAGATCGCTGTCCTTTTTGAAGGTCGTGGATGACATACTCATTAGGCCTCTTTGGATATAAAACTTTTACTTTCCCGTCAAAACATACGCGGGGGGGGAAATGTCGAAACCCCGCATTCCCCATCTGGTGGTGGGTCCATCTCGGGGCGTTCGAACGTTATTGGAGCATCTGAACGGCGCATAAAAGCTTTCCGCATACGGTTGGAAGTGTGGTAGAGTGCCGGCTGGCCAGAACCACTGGTGAGCTCAATTTCAAGACTGAAACACCTTGATGTAGTTATTTCACTAAATTTGAGAACTGCGCGATATTTCTTTCAGTAGGAAGAAGACATTGAACCCTTTCACATAGTGCACAGAAAAGGAGATGGAAACGGAGCGAGTCAAAGAGATGTGGACATGACTCCGCGCACACACTGTCCTCATATTTGGCCCACCCTGTGTATTGGATACTAGGAAAGCCGTAGTTCACACTGGTTAAAGCCATGCACCAGGATCACACTGGTGTGGCTCACCTCAGTCACACGAATGCGACTGCATTATTGCGAAATGCGCCGAAAGTTATAAAGGAAAAGGGAAAAGAATCGTTGAAAGAAGCGCCTAGGGGGGTTGAGGGTTTACTCAGTTCCCAGTCGGCTGTGCTACGGGAATGAGAGACTAAGCGCGGAGAGGAGAGTGGAGGCGAGAGAGCGCTACAGATGAGAGAGCGCCAGACAACAGCCTGATAGAGAGAAACTGCAGCTTCAGCAGTCACTTTGCAAGGCCCAAGCGACTCTTGTCGGTTGGTTTCCGTGCACGGGAACGCCACATTTGTGTTGGCCTCTATGGGGTCGGTCATATACGAGCCGCAAGGGGAAGCCGTTCCACGACCTCGGTCTGGGTTGGCCTGTTTAGTTGGTACAGCAATGATGCATTGCTGATCGGATAAAATTAGAGTATGTGCATGATACACCGCAAAAAGCAATGCTTTTCCCACCGTCCAGCGCAATGCACGGCCAAAAATATTTATAATTAATCGTTTACAATTTACAGTTCTTGTTGAGGACATTTGAAGGGACACACAACAAAAAAGTCTGATAGCAGGGTTGAATAAAGTAGAGAACTAGAAGTCTAGTCACGTCAGCAAGATCCGGAATCACCGCTTGATCTAGCTCTGAAGCAAAAACTCGTCCAGTCTCCACGGCGAGATCTTTGTTTTACAGCATCCCCGCGAAAAGTGGCGTGACTGCGTGGAACGGTGAAGAACGATTGGTCATTGCCGCTCCCTCAGATTCTAATTTATCGCTATTCGCCGAATTACCTGAATCTTCATTTAATCCTGCTTTACCCTATTAAATTATTTTTATAACTTGCGATGACATTAAATGAATGGCATATTGCGGAATTAATCAGTATTATACCCAAGAATTTCATGGAGCAGAAGTGATGTATAGGCAAGCGGTGCTGTTTAACAGGCTTACGTTCAACAATGAAATCCTGGTTGTGCGCCGTTTAGATCGGCTTCCGTCTCCTGGGAGGTGTGTTATCGGCAGTCCAGTACAGGGTTGATCTTGGCGAAGTATCACATGACTTGTTATCACAGGGCCGGCCTCGATTGTGATTGGCCTAGTCGCAATAGGAATTCATCTGCGTGATCGAGAAAAGCTAGTGGCATCCAAAGATGGATTTTACATAGGTTATCGACCCGAATCATTAACCTGATGGTTGGTGACGTGCTGAATGGACCTTCAATTTGGAGCGCATGCCTTGAACAAAGGAGTTGTTGGTGAGCTTAGGCTTACTGTGTTGTCAATTACACGCAGGGGGTTTGCGCTTCGCCTGGGCTTATCGGCGGCGGATTGAGCCCTCGGGGGAGGCTAGTGTTGCGGAACTGGGGAGGACATGGAATGATCTTTTCGGCCGATTTGGATTCTCCTCTACGCGATTCAGTCGGACTGAGTTTGAGCGTATGGTTAGATCCTTCACAGCTTCACTGGAGTCATGTGGTATGGTCGGGAGAATAAGGCGCTGATTAGGGAACGTCTGAGCTGAAACTGAAGTATATTGACGTCGCAACTCTGTAAACATCCAGCATTTTTCTTGAAATAAGATAATTAAGCGGTGAATAGGATTTTCCTGTCGTCAGTCTCAAAATGAAATTGAAATATGCCCTCTTTACATAAGTGAGGAGCTTGACGTGAGTGCTGGATCATTTCAAACGGGTGTGGGGGGTCGATTACATGTGTCTGCCGGTTATTTATTTAAGCGGGGCTCGGGTGGAATGGGCGCGTGTTGGTTAGCGGGAGGTTTGGGTTTATTTCTTTGATTTAGTGCGTCAGAAATGAGCTTATTCTGTGCTGTAATTTTTTAGGATTTATGTAGCGCAAATGCTATCGCATAAAGGACCACAATGGTGGATGTAGGGAAGGACGCTCCAGGGGGGTCAATTTCGCTTTGCTGTAAACGGAATCGAGCACTTCGGGCTCTGGTGTCTGACGACGGGCTGTATCGCGACCTTATCTCGAGGTCTGATGTTATGGCTAGGATATGGCGTGTGCAAGCGGTGGGTACGGCAGCGCTCGATTTTGTTCCGTCGATTCACCGGCACTTCAGAACACTTGTTAAATATGGTTGCTTAGTTGGCAACAGCGGCGAGGATGGCTAGACGAATCGGCGACTTTTCAGTCGTCGGGGGTGCGCCTTAATCTGGGGTGGGCTTATTCTTGTAGTCGTATTAGCGATTTTCTGGGTGGCATTCGCCTACCGTAATGGTTCGGCGGTCCCACCCGGGTGGGGATATTTAATCACTTGTATGAGATGGGTTGCTTTGCTGTGGGTGGTGGGGTTGGGGGGCAGGGGGTTGTCGAAGCTTGAGACCGGTGGTAACGGAATCGTGATCGGCGTTCTTGTTGGTTCTGCGAAGTGTCTTATCGCGCGGCTGGATTAGCAGTTGGCTGAGTCTCGAGCTGTCCATCTATGATGACAACCGAAGGTGTCCCCCGGATCGCTCGCGCGCTGGACGGAGTGAGTGACATGGTTTTGTTAGTAGTAAGAACGCGCGTGTTTGGTTAAGCGGTATTGAAGCGGCAAAACGGAAGAAGATTGGCGATGGGCTGTGTTCTGCCGTTTGCTGTTGATGCGATATATTATGCAATCGTTATCAGTTCCTATCACGTGAACCCACTTCTGGTTGAGGTTGGTTCTGATGTGCGTGGTTGGGGATGT